GATGGGTAGCCCTTCAAATTCACAAAGAGGAGGTCCTGGAATGGTTGTGAAATTGAGCTCAATCATAACATCCCCAGGGTCACCCTGGCTGGGCGAGGGTGGTTTAGGCAGCAGCTGGCTTACCCCCTTCTCATAACACTAATGATAGGAATAACTCACATTTAGAAAGGCCTTCAGGGTTGCATTCCTCACAAAACCCTAGGGAGTAGGTAGTTGTAGGGTTATTATTCCCAAGCTGAGGCTGAGGAAACTGAGGCCCACTGTGGCTAGCCCACAATCATGCAGCTACTAAGTATTGGGGATACAGGTCAACCCCAGGTTTCTCCTGGCCAGTCCCTTAGCCTCTCTTGAAGGATCCCTTCCTTCTGCTGAGAGGTGAGAGTGGATCTGGAATCTCCCCATGGGGAGGAGTCCCAGGCTGCGGGGATCTGGCCACAGTGATCTCACCCAGGACCGTTCCCTCGTGGCTCTTCAGGAACGTCCAGGAATCCAGTCAGTTTCGTGACTGGGCAGGCTGCAAGCTCAGCAGTTTCCCAGGGCAGCTGAGAATGGCCAGCGGAGGAGGAGGGGGAGGGAGCCACAAGCCAGGACAGGAGCAGGCCAGGGATTAAGGACGAGCCAGGAAAATACCACACCCTCGCTGCGGGCCTAGTGCCTGCCACCCAAAGCACCGGGAGAGGAAGGGAATTTGTGTTCCTTAGGCACATAAGGCATATCGCTCCTTTGTGTAGATGGTCCCTGACCAGCCAGGCAACTATCACAAGACATCCTCAGCTTGGATAAATCTCTACTGCTCCCTGAACCCCAGATTCCTAGTCTGTAAAGTGAGGGATTTAGACTGAATGATCTCTAAGGTTCCATGTTCCAAGGGCCTCCACTCCACCCCTCCACCTCACCCAGCTCTAACATTCTGGGTTCTAAGTCTTATCCCCACTTCCAGCTCTGGAATTTTATGTTCTAAGGGCCTTTTTAGCACTGACATTCCATGTTCTAAGGCTCCCTCCTCCCAGCTCTGACACTCTGTGTTCTTAGGTTCCTCTCAGCTCTGACATCTTTTGTTCTAAGAGTCCTCTCAGCTTTGTCATTCTGTGTTCTAAGGGCCCTTACAACTCTGACATCCTGTGTGCTAAGGTTCTTCTCAGCTCTGACACCCTGTGTTCTAAGGTTCCTCTTAGCTCAGACACCCTGTGTTCTAAGGGCCCTCCCAGTCCTGACATCCTGTGTTCTAAGGTTCCTCCTAGCTCTGACATTCTGTGTTCTAAGGGTTCTCCCAGCTCTGACATCTTGTGCTCTAAGGTTCCTCTCAGCTCTGACACCCTGTGTTCTAAGGGCCCACCCAGATCACAAGTTAGTGAAAGAGGCATCTCCCTGCCTTGTGACTGCCCATTATGGCCAAGCAAGAACCTAAGAGAGATTCACTAAAAGCCAGATCCAGGCCTGAGTGATCCAGTTCCCCTGATTTGGTGATCTTGAGACCTGAGTTCTTCTTTGCTGTATGACCTTGGACAATAATATAACAGCTGACGTGTCTCTAGAGCTTCAAGGTCCACAAAGGACTTCATGTCTATGACCTCAAGTGATCTTCACCACAACCCAGTAAATGTGGCATTGTAGGTATTACACCCATTTTACAGATGAAGAAATCAAGATTCAAAAAGGCCAATGGCCTCACCTACTGTGATAGAGCAGGGTTGGATGTGATCCCGAGCGTCTCCTAGCTCCACGCTCCAGGCTCAGTGCTTTATGTAGTGTTACCCTGAGCTGCTTCTGTGCAAGTAGCTGCTTTCTTCTGGGCGTCAGTTTTCTCCTCTACAAAATGGGTATATTGGTTACTGGATGGGCTATAAGACCCTTCTGTTTCCAAATCCTGTGATGCAGTTCAGAGAGTGTTTGCCCCTCTGTTCAAAGAGGGGCATGCCCAGCCTGGGCTTGAGTGGCCACCACTACGCTCTTCTTTGGCCGTGCTGGGGGGATGTCAGCCTGAACAGGTGACCAGTCTCTCGAGATGGTGTCAAGGATAGAGATTGTTGTCCAAGAGGTCCTGGTCCCTGAGTGGGGAGCCTGCATCCTTGAGGCCACTTGTGGCCCTCTGGGTCCTCAAGTTCGGCCCTCTGACTGAATCCAGACTTCACAGATGTGGCTTTGAGGCCCAGGTTCCCCATCCCTGTGGTCCATACTCTTGTGACTTCCTCACTATAGAACTTTGGGGAAACCATTCCCTCTATCTGGCCCTCAGTCATGGATATTCCGGGGCCATAAAGCTTTATGTAAAATTTGCCTCTCTTGCCCATTATAGGCTCATATCTTTGGAGCTAGAAAGGACCTCAGAGGTCATCTAGTCCAGCTGAGGCATAGATCAATGAAATGATTTGTTCAGTGTCCCATAGGTAGAAAATACCAGAGCTGAGATCTGAAACCAGGGCCTCTGACTCCTAATGCAGTATTCTTTTTGCTGTATTGGGATGCCTCCAGATGAACATGCCATTGCTGGGTCAGCGTGGCTAGTTCACAAGCAGAGGAGCCTGGACTTTTTCTGGCTTCTCTTTCCCTTTCTTCTGCCCATCCCCAATCTTGGGTGGATCCACTTTTTCTGAAGTCCTGGTCATGTAGCACCCAGCTAGGATGGGCTCAGGGAGATGATGCCTGTGTGTGAATCATCCCCACTATGGGCACCTGCCCTGACCCTAGGTTGTTTTCAGGCCTGGACTTGCTTCGACTGTTCTCAATGGTAAGCTTAGACATTTTTGGCCAGTCTGGCTCCAAACAGCTATGGAGAAATGGGCAAAGGGCCTCTGGGATTTGTTTCTATATGTCTTTATATGGTAACTCTCTTCCTTATCCTCCCCCCAAATCATAAAAAAGGGTGCATGGATTTGAGAGTATGTGTGTATGTATATATATACACATATATTTAAAATAAGGCCTTTCCTCTACCCAGTGGAGTAAAGGTGGGTGGTAAGATGACGGGAGAGAAGGATAGGGTAGGAGAGAAAGAAGGAAAAAGAAAAGAAAGAAGGAGGAAGAGAATTATTTAAGCATTTTCTTTTTAATGAAAAGAGAACAAGAAGAAAGCTAGGAAGAAACACTGACAAGTAGGACAGCTTTGAAAGCCACAGTGAACTAATCTGATTAAAAAGAAAAGTTCTGCAGTTTTATGTCTAATCCTCTATCTTCTTTTTTCCTGTTCTACTCCATATATGGAAATGCCCTATTAATTTGATTGTAGTTAAGTTCAGAATCAAAATAAACTTCAAAAAAATTTTTTTTATAAGAGTCTCTGTGCTTCTTTGGGGTGGGAGTAATCCCAGTATAAATTGAGTTTTTGATATACTAATGTTGGTGCTTAAAGAGACTTGTTTGCCAGGCCATTTGTGTGAAGGAGATATGTCTGGGCAAGCCAGCCGTGGAACTCCAGAATGCTGGGAGGGAAAGATGAGGAAGGAAAAGGAGACACTGTAAAGAAACCAGATTAGACATCATAGGGAGATGACTCAGGCTATGAGGAGCGGCCATCATCAAAGGCTTGAAAGAAACTAGAGAGTAGCAGAGAATGGGAATGATTCTGAGCCTCAGTGTCCTCATCTGTAAAATGGAGATGTGGGACAAGATGGTGCCTTACAGTCCTTTTCAGCTCTGGCATTCTGTATTTTAACATTCTAATATGTAAGGATCCTTCCAGCTGCAACTTCCTATATACTTCCATAGTTTTGGGGTACCAGGCTGTCTGCCTTGGAAAAAGAGAAGTTAGTATAAGAAAAGGTCTGTAGATCTGTAGGATACTGCCACCTTTTTAGAGTCTGAGCAGCTGGACGGTGAAAACAAGAGTTAAGGGCAGGAACTAGTGGGTGGATCCCAAGCCAAGACTGGGAGGCCCTGGCTTCCTCAGCGTGAAAGCTCGGCTGGTGAGAAATCTTCCTGTGGCTTGGACTGGGTTTAGGAGTAAGGGTGCAACCCCTGGAATCTGGCCCAAATGAATGAGCCCAAAACTCTGGGCACAACAGAGAGTTAACCTCCAATCTTTCTGCTTCAAATCCATTCTGGCATTCTGCCACAGTAATTGTGCTAAAGCAGCAGCTAACCAGGTTGCTTCCCAGCTCAAGAAATTTCAATGACTACCTATTGTCTATAGGGTTAAGTTCAAATTCCTTAAGTGCCTACTTTGTTCAAAAAGAGGCACAAGATGGTCCCTGCCCTTAAGGAGCTTACAATCTAATGGGGGAGACAACATGCAGACAAATATATACAGAGCAAGCTATGTATAGGATAAATAGGAAATAATGAACAGAGAGAAGACACTGGAATGAAGTGGGGTTGGGGAAGGCTTCCTGTAGAAGGTGGGATTTTAGCTGGGACTTAAAGGAAGCCAGAGAGGTCAGTAGTCAGAGCATAGGAGGAAGAGTGTTCCAGGAATGGGGGACAGCCAGAGAGAATGCCCAGAGCCCAGGGCTGGAGTGGCTTGTTCTCGGAATGGCCAGGAAGTCAGGGTCACTGCACTGAAGAGTATGGTAGGGAGTAAGGTGTAAGAAGACTGGAAATGTAGGAGGGGCCTAGGTTAGGAAGGGCTTTGAGAAAAGGCATCTCCTGCTCTAAATTTTCTCTCTTCCTAGACTTTAAGCTGAAGGCAGAGACTGTGTCGTATTTTTCCTTGTATTATCCCTGGCTAGTGGGCCCTTCATAAATGATTGCTGGATTGAACTAATAGCAGTAGCTGTTATGAATAAGCGGCTTTTATTATTTTGCTCTCCAGAGCAGTTTACACACATTACCTCACTGGATCCTCACAACCTCCTGGTGGTGTGAGGCCAGAATATCATCTCCGTTTTTACATAAGGAAACAAGGGCCCAGAGAAGGGAATTGATTTGCCCAAGGTCACGCAACTTATGAAAGTCCAGGAACCAGATTTGAACCCAGGCTTCCCATGCCTGAATTCTTCTCCCCACCCCATAGTGTATTGTCTCAGACTTTTGATGTAAATGAAATTTCATTTGTCTTTCCACAGGAAAAAATACACACTGACCTTCTCTGCGTTCCCACTGCCTCCTCTTCCTAAGCCTCCTGTTACAGGTCCTGGTCAATACGATATTGTGAACTATGAAGGCCCCTCCAAGCATTACATCTCCAGTGCCACATTCGTGTCCAGCACGAGTCGGTGGGGAATGAACACAGACCAGAGTGGTCTTCCAGGGCCAAGTAAGAGGATTGTGAATATTGTTTTTAATCAATTGTCACAAAACAGAATAACTGAGTACTGTTGGCCATTCTAAGTTTTCAACTATGTCGGCATAGAAGAGCCATGTTTTCATTGCTGGGCATCCTTCCTCAGCAGATGGATATGGCGGCCCTTCCGTGTCTCTGTCTTCATAAGTTGCCATGGCCAAAAGAAACTTTTCACTCGGTGGTGTCTGCCTTGTGGTCATGAACCTCTCTTAGCTCGGCTCCAGCTAGTCAGGATCCTCTGTGCGCCTGTGCTTTCTCACCTCCTTATCTCTGCTCATGCTGTTGTGTATGCCTTCCCTCACCCTTGAGTGAACCTGTTGAACTCTTGTTGAAGTCTTGTCTACCCTCCCCCCCTCCCCCCAAACAGGCTTCTTTCTTTCTCTTCCACTTCTTTCCTCTCCCATTGAGAAAGCAAGAAAAACGAAACCTCAGTCACAAATATGTAGAGTCAAATAAAACGAATTCCCACATTGGCCATGTCCAAACACAAAATGTGTCTCAATCCATTGCCTCTCTGTCAGGGGTATGTACTGCCTACCCTTTAAAGCCTAGCTCACATGCTGCGTTGTTCTGGAAGCCTGCCCTGGGCAGTAAGGGCAGGCCTCCTTTGATTTCCCAGAGTTCTTTGCTTTGTTTTCTCTTAGGTACTTATGATACAGTATCCCATATTATGCTTCTCTGTGCATCGACCTGTCCTCCTTCTAGACCAAGCTCTTTGTATTAAGGACCTACTAAGTGCGGAGTACTCTTCTAGATGCTAGGGACAATGCTGAGTTTAGGTAAGAAACAGTCCTTCCTTCAAAGAACATGGTCTAGAAGTCTATCACTGGGTCAGCATTCAAGCAGAGCCTTTCCTTCTGCCTAGGACATGCCCCTTCAAGCTGTAGGACCTTGGGCCAATACCGTTGCCTTACTGAGCCTTGGGTTCATCCCCTGTGAAAATGGGGGAATCACATTTATGTAATGCCTCAAGGTTTGCAAAGTACTCACATGCATTCCCTCCCTTGATCCTTGGAGCAAACAGGCGAGGCAGGGGCTCTTAATATTCCCATTTGGTAGCTGGGAAAACTGAGGCTCAGAGAGCTTTAGGAAATGGAGGTTCACATTCCTATCCTACCTTTTTGTCTCTCGCCTCATTTAATCCTTACCACAAACCTGGGAGGAGGGACTATGATTACCCCCATTTTACAGCCAAGAAACAAAAGTCACACAGCTACCGAGTGTCTGAGAAATCAGGCCTTTCTGACCGCAGATCCAATATGAATAGCTAGCATTACACACATGCACACACACACACACACACACGTGTACATGTATACACACATATAAATGTTAAGGTTTTGCAAAGCGCTCTACAAACGCAATCTCATTTGAAACTCAGAACAACCCTGGTAGGTAGGTGCTATTATTATCCCCAATTTACAGATGGAGAAACTGAGGCACAGAGCATTTAAGTGGCTTGCCCAGGGACTAGCTGGGAAGTGTGTTAGGCCAGATTTGAACTCAGATCTTCCTGACTCCAGGCTCAGTGTTTTATGCGCTGTGCCACCTTCTCCATCTTCCTTATTAGGGTTAGGAGAGGATCACATGAGTATGTGTAAGATGATTTATATAAACACAGCATTATATAAACATAAATTATTATTGTTGTTGCTATTGTCTTCTAACCTCCCCTGAAGTGGAGAATAATGATAACAGCAGTGAGGCTGATGAGGATGATGCCTTCTTGCTGTGTGGCCAGGCCAAGGGTCTGTGGAGCCTCCACAGACAGCACAGCTTTGCACCGGCTGAGCAGTGAAGCTCTCTGGACTCAGACAAGTAATGAAGCCGTCTCCTAAGGCGTGGAGGGTGATGACTGAGGCTGGTGGAGACCACAAGCACCCACATCTGTGAGGCTGGAGACCTTTTGAAGTTGGTATTTGTGGAACAAGTGATGTTGGCTAAAGAACCGAGCAAAGTCCACAGTTCACCCTCTATGGCCTAATCAATGGATGGCATGAGATTTAGGAGAAAAAGCATTGGGTTTGGAGCAAAAAGACCTAGGGGGTCTGATCTCTCCTACCTGTGGCATATCCCTGGCCTCAGTTTACTCCTCTGAATTCAGTTCAATTCAGAACATTTATTAAGCTCCTGTTGTGTGTAAGGTACTAGATACAAAGATAAAAATAAACCAAGAATGGGGTAGGGTTGGGAGTGTAGGGGTGTGGCAAGTTAGTCCTTGCCCTCCGGGAGCCTGCGTTCTAACACACACACACACACACACACACACACACACACACACACACACACACACAGAAAGAGAGAGAGAGAGAGAGAGAGAGAGAGAGAGAGAAAGGGAGAAGAGAGAGAGAGACAGAGAGGGAGAGATCAATAACAGGATATTTGGGGAAGGAGGGAGCACTGGCCTCTAGAGGGTTCAGCTGCTGTTGGGGGTGGCAAGTGAGTGAAACCTTTCAAATAGCTTAAACACTCCAAGAGGAAGAGGTGGAGAAAGTGAGGAAGGAGGGCATTTCAGCTCTGAGGAAACAGCCAGTGGAAAAGCTCAGAAGCCCAGGGGTAAATCCCCAATCGAAGGGACCAGCCCCCTCAGGTTGGGCTGGAACATGGACAGCATGAATGGGACACATGTAACCTGAGCTCTGAAAATGGTGGGGCTGGATTAGAGGATCACTGAGGGTCCGGCGGCTCTAAAATCCCAGGATCCTGTGATCTTCACATGCTGGTACCTAAATGACAGTGAGATCCACAGATGAGCTCTTCCGTAAACACCAAGTCCTTGCATTCATGCGGCTAAGCCTAGACACATGAAAATCTTCCCTGTGGCCACAGGGCCATGTTGGAACTTCATCTCTATGTATTTGCCTTGAAATCCAAGCAGTGAGCTCCTGCATCCAGAATTCCGTCTCAGGCAAGGGCACCTGCTCAGGGTCCACATGTGGGCTTGGTTATGACAGGATCCCTAATATTGGAGGTGTATGTGGCTTTCCTCATTGGCTCAGGGAGTAGATAGGGTCCAATTCCTGTAGGGTATCTCCCATGGTGACCTGCGAGCTGGATCTGAAGTCAGAAAGATCTAAGTTTGAATCCAGCCTCATGTGCTTACCATCTGTGTGATCCCTAGGTGGGTCACTTCACCTCTGCCTCAGTTTCCTCATCTACAAAATGGGGATATTAACAGTAGCCACCTGCCAAGGTTGTTGTGAGGATAAAATAATATTTATACATTATATAATAATGTATTTATATAAATATAATAAAATTAATGAAATTATATATAAATAATTTATATCTCATAAATAATATAAATGTAATGATGCAATAAATAATATAGTATACAAAATGCTAGCTATTATTGTTGTTATTATTATTCCCTTCAGTCAAGAACACGTCCTCAGATTCCCTTCCTTCCTCCTCCCCCTTGTCTTTGTGAGGGATGCTGGCAGAAGCTCTGCACCAAATGACCAATGAACACTGGGCTGAACAGAACGGAGCATAGCTCTTCCATGGCCCTGCTAAACAGCCTTAGGAATTTAGGGAGTTAAGTGAGGTGGCATTGTAGGATAACAAGGTACTTTGACATCCAGGATCTCATTTGATCCCTACAATTACCCTGGGAGGGATGCAGGGCAGGCATTTTCATCTGCATTTTACCGTTAAAGATGCCCAGGCTCTGAGAAGGAAAGAGATTTGCCTGAGGTCACAGAGTGAGCTGGAGGCTTGAACCCAAGTCCCAGGAATGAGTTAATAAATTTTAGCACTAACACTGAAAAAAACTCCAAACAACTATTAAAAAAAAAGCTACAATGCCAGAAAGGGACCTTGGAGATTGTCTTGTCCAGGGGTTCTTAACCTGGAGTCCATGGACATTGAAGGGGTTAATCATACAACAAAAGAAGAAGGTGACAAGTGATCTGAAGTTGGAAATAACTGGAGATAGGTGTGAAAGGAAAGAAAGTTCTGATTCAGTAAACAGGAGATAATTAGAGTCCAGCAAAAGATTTCAGGGGCTCCATAAGTGTGAGTGGGGGGAAAAGTGACATCTTTATTTTTGTTTACTTCTAGATGAAATTGAGCATTTCTCTCAGTTATTTAAAACCCTTATACTGAGGAGAGATCCATAGCCTTCACTAGATGCCCAGAAGAATCTAAGAATCTCTGATCCAATCTAACCCCTTCATTCCACACATGGGGAAACTGAGGACCACAGAAGGCTTATGGGACTTGCCCAAGTTCATACAGATAGTGATTAGCCGACCCAGAACATAAAGCCAGGTTTTCTGATTTCCAAGTCCCTCACTCTTTCTGCTACTCCAAGGCATCCCTCCATCCCCCGATTTCTCCCTTTTCAAAAGAATAGTCCCCTTTCCCCACTGGTTGCTCTTAGGCTAAGCCACAAATAGTACTACCAAGCTATTCTGCATTGACTCAAAGAACCCTGGCCCCAGCACAGTCTGCTGCCTCCTCTGGAGGGCTTCCCTCCCCAGACAGGAGATCAGGAGGTGCCCAGAGCTGGGAGGGGTGACTTGTTAGGAGCCAGATCTCAATCTCTAAAAAGTGCATCTGTTTCCTTCTCTAGCTACCTACAAGCCCGAATTCCCTGGAAAACAGTCTTTCATCTACAACAGTGACAAGAAGTGGATCCCTGTTTTATAATGAAGTCCTAGGCTGCTGTCTTCCAATTGTTTCTGCTGAAACTGATATGTGAAACTCATTAAAAGTCACATTTCTTTTGTTCATGGGCATCCACTGACTTGTACAGGAGCCATGGGGCTCTCGACTTGTAGATGTGTTGACAGAGGTGTTGTGGTCTAGATAACCCAGAACGACGTGGGAGCTGAGTGAAGCTTCCATCCAAAATGGGGGTGTCAGGGAGTAATGCAATGAGCTTCCACAGGGCAGCTGCCTCTGGTGACCCTCAATGTCCCTTGTCATCTCTCTTAGTCATCCAGCTCCTTCTCTCATGGTGGCTGGGGGAGGTCTGAGAAGTACCTCTCTCTCAGATGCCACATGACCATCAACATGTTGCCAGAGCTAATATTCCAGATCTCCCAAGAGCAGCTAGATGACTAGATAGTCATCCCAAAAAGTCACTTCAGGGGACTTGGGTCTCCTGTTTACAGAAGTTTTGTATGTGTGTCCACCCTCAATCCACCCCCAATCCACCCCCTGGAACCAATGCTCTAAGACTTGGAGAGATGAGACATAGAGAGCCAGACCAGAGCCTACCAGTGCTGAGAACAGTGTCTGAGAGTGTGGGCCTGACTGCCTCCAAGATCCTCCAGGGAAGAGAGTTACCTTCCAAACCCAGGAGCAGCCTTGCGAAATCTACCAAGGATCTATGAAAATGGCTATTCCTTGGGCCCAAGGCGAAGATTCTTTAGTCCTTTTCTCCTTACTTGATGAGGTCTGATCTGAAGTAGATCAGTCTTCTGAGGGAAAAAAATTGACAGCTGGTACAAGTAATCAACATGGGATTGTTACTAGGACTGCTTACTACCCTTTCCCATCCCTATCCCCCATAATGGTAATGATTGGATTTTAATTCAGAAAACCAAACAGGCCTCAACATTAACACCTCTTCCCCCTCTGTCCAACATCCCCTTGAGAAGGCTTATTCTAAGCTACACCAGAATTAATGCCTTGTAATGTAACTCTCTTGTGACCTCTGACCCTACCAAAGAATTACTGCTCTGGTCCTCTCTGACCTTAATCTTCGAAAGGTGTCTGGGAACTCTAGGATCCAAGTCCAGCCTGATTTAGCATCCTCTTGAGGGCCATGTTTTTTGCACACTCCTCAAAGTCCCCCCCCCAGACTCTGTATATGTGTGTGTGTGTGTGTGGGTGTGTAAGGGGGTATTGGAAGATGGGCAGATTGTGTTCCACTTGCCTAGGAAAGCTAAAATTTAAACTGGGTAGGAAGCAAATAGAGCCAGGTCACTCTTTTGGGTAGAGATGTTTCTCTTTCTTTCTTTCTTTCTTTCTTTCTTTCTTTCTTTCTTTCTTTCTTTCTTTCTTTCTTTCTTTCTTTCTTTCTTTCTTTCTTTCTCTCTCTCTCTCTCTCTCTCTCTCTCTCTCTCTCTCTCTCTCTCTCTCTCTCTCTCTCTCTCTCTCTCTCTCTCTTTCACATTAACCCACAATTCTGCCTAGTCCCAGTCATGCTCCACTAATCTCAGTATGCCCCTGGTTCCTTCTTTCTTCTCCTTTGATATTTTTAGATTAAACTCTATTTTGAGTATTCATAGAGGAAATAGCATCATGGGATGGACAGTGGTGGGGATGGGAGGGCAAGAAGGGAAATCTGTAATGGATACAATTTAGGTGCTTAGCAAAGTACCTAATTAAACAGAATTTTTTGCTCTTTCACATGTGGCCTTGTATAAATGCAAAGTTCATAGAAAAAACTTGAACAATTGAATTTTAAATCCAGAAACACTTTCAGTTTCCATCTTTGGGGTTTGGGGCAATAATCTTCTCTGTGAAAGCAGGGGTTAGGCCAGTCTATAGACTCATAAGGTGGGAGTGCTAGGGGAGACCTTCCTAAGGATGTTGGATCTGAGAGGGATGCTGACTTCAGAACTGGAAGCGATCTTAGAACACAGAGTGTCAGTGTTGGAAGGGGCCTTAGAACTTATAACATTAAGACTATAGAGAGCCCAGTCTGAGAAATTCCTAGTTGGAGGAGGCAGCTTCAGCAGGACCAGCTCCAACCACTTTTTCCAAGGCAAAAGCATAATGAGAAAAATGGCCAATGTGCTTCAGAAAATGAATTCTCCGATTCTTGAGGTGCCAGAGACTAGAACAGGAAGCCCAGATTCTCCTGCAGAATCTTCAGCCACTGCAAGAAGCCTGAGGCCTCATCCTTCTGTACCCCAAGGGGACACATAGAGCCCAGAGTCCATTTGAGTCCTGCTGGATGTGTGGGCCTCACCTGATATCCAGGCTGTGAGGGGAGCCAGGAAGTGACTCCGAGTAATCTATAGGGCTATAGCCAATAGGCTGAACAAGGAGGGTGTGAAGCGAACCTGGGTGCAGTGTTGGGACATGATGCAAGCCTTGGAAGACTTGTACTATTATATCCAGGAGGCCAACCAGAAAAGGTCAGGTGAACCCATCCCCTGCCCATTTCATGAGGGCTTGGAAAAAGTCCTGCCCTTCTCCCATGCCTGGCATGAAGTCCCTGAAGCAGAGCCCATAGGCTATCAACCCTCAGGGGCATCCAATTTGAACCCAATGCCAGTTTGGACTCCTCCCTGGCTGGGTCAGCTGCTACCTGAGGTCATCACATGGAATGGACCCCCCATTGATGAAGGAGAGAGCAGCGGGACAGCCATGAACAGCCCCCAGGAGCCACCACAGCTAATTCCAAGGACCCCCCCCCATACTTTTATCTATGTCACAAACCAAATGGACAACTGGAACATCCCCCAAAGGACACCTGAGGAGATTCCATGGGCCCCAAGTCCTCTCATCTCTATGTCAAATAACTTCACCCAGGAGCCCTTCTTTCAATATCCAGCACAGATTATCCCATTTCAGCCCATACAAGTTCCTTCTTTCCTGCATCAAAGGACTATTGAGAACAACCCCCATTTTGAACCCCAGGACTCCCCTTCAGGCAGTGATGGTTTTACTTCATGGAAGATGAGGAGGCAGGTCAGTGTATCTCCCCAGATAGACTCAGGGAATCCCTTCCAGTGATACCCCTTTGATCAACAAGGACAAAGAAGAGCCAGTTGGAAACAGTTCCCAAGACCCAACAGAATTGACCCCACAGACTGTGCCAACTCTTCATTCAACCCACAAAGAGGAGGCAGTTGACAACACCCCCCCAAGGTCATACTCCATAGGAGATCTCCTACACTCCAATATCCTGTATCCAGAATCCAAGGACCTACGAATACCACCTTCCAAATCCATGCTTAACGAGTCCATCCCCATTTCCCTACCCACATGGACCCCCACAATTCTTCCCCCATCTCCATATTTCTTTCCCCACATGTACATCCAGATGCAATAAAAACATTAATTTTCTCAAAAACAAAAAAACAAAAAACCAAAACAAAACGAAAAAAGACTATAGAATTCTAGTACTGGGAGGGACCTTAGAACATAGAATGTCAATGGAAGGGCCATTAGAGTATAGATTATCAGAACCAGAAGGGCCTATAAGAACAAAGACTATGAGAATGGGGAATAACCCTAGAAAATAGAATGTCAGAATAGATGCAGAAAAAGCTTTTGACAAAATACAACACCCATTCTTATTAAAAACACTAGAAAGCATGGGTATAGATGCAGTCTTCCTTAAAATAATGACTAGCATCTATCTAAAACTTTCAGCAAGCATAATATGTAATGGGGACAAACTAGAAACAATTCTAATAAGATCGGGGGTGAAACAAAGATGTCCATTATCACCACTGTTATTCAACATCATACTGGAAACTGTAGCTTTAGCAATAAGAGAAGAAAAAGAAATTGAAGGTATTAGAATAGACAAAGAAGAAACAAAGCTATCACTCTTTGCAGATGACATGATGTTATACTTAGAGAATCCTAGAGAATCAAGCAAAAAACTACATGAAATAGTAAACAACTTTAGCAAAGTTTCAGGCTTTAAAATAAACCCACATAAATCATTAGCATTTCTATATATTACCAACAAAGCCCAACAGCAAGAGATAGAAAGAGAAATCTCATTTAAACTTACTGTAGACATTATAAAATATTTGGGAGTCTACCTCCCAAAACAAACCCAGGAACTCTATGAACACAATTACAAAACACTTTTCACACAAATAAAGTCAGATCTAAATAATTGGAAAAACATCAGTTGCTCATGGGTAGGCCGAGCTAATATAATAAAAATGACAATCTTACCTAAGCTAATTTACTTATTCAGTGTCATACCAATCAAACTATCAAAAATTATTTTATAGAGTTAGAAAAAATAATAACAAGATTCATTTGGAAAAACAAAAGGTCCAGAATATCAAAGGAACTAATGAAAAGAAATGCAGGGGAAGGTGGCCTAGCAATTCCAGATCTTAAATTGTATTATAAAGCAGCAATCATCAAAACTGCTTGGTACTGGCTAAGAAATGAGGTGGATCAGTGGAATAGGTTAAATATGCAAGACACAGTAGTCAATGACTATAGTAATCTATTATTTGATAAACCCAAAGACCCCAGCTTCTGGGATAAGAACCCACTCTTTGAAAAAAACTGCTGGGAAAACTGGAAAAGAGTATGGCAGAAACTAGGCATAGACCCAAATCTCACACCATATACCAAAATAAAGTCAAAATGGGTTCATGACTTAGATATAAAGGCTGATACTATAAGCAAACTGGGAGACAAGGAATAGTTTACCTATCAGATCTATGGAGAACAGAAGAATTCATGACCAAACAGGAGATAGAGAACATTATGAAAAGCAAAATGGATAATTTTGATTACATTAAATTGAAAAGTTTTTGCACAAACAAAGCCAATGCAACTAAGATTAGAAGGAAGGTAGAAAATTGGGAAACAATTTTTACAACCAGTCTCTGAAAGGCCTCATTTCTAAAATATATAGAGAAGTCAAATTTATAAGAATACAAGCCACTCCCCAATTGATAAATG